TTCTGATCAAGGTAGGCAGGATGTCAAATAGTTATTTTCTACAGGTTACTGTGAACAGAGTGCACCAAATCAGCGCTCTGCAGTGAAATAATAGGACCGGACATGACACTGAAAAATAAAAATCATGTTCATGGAACTAAAATAAATGTTATGAACATTTCTGGGCACTTTGAGACACACCAGGAAGCTTATTGAGATAAAAAGTTCCAAGCCAGGATTGCAGGTCAGTGATACTAACACAGACTTTGCCTGGAGACTGACCTTCGCAGCAGTTAAATTGGCAGTTGCTATTTCAAGAGGTGATTGGGCTTGTGACACTCAAAGTTAGAAAAAGTGCTGAACTGTTGCAGGAAGGTGAGTGGACACTGTTGCCTGAATATGTCAGCTCCCTTCCCATCTGATTCAAAGCTTCTGCTCTAGCAAACCCTTTTTCTAGCCTTGTTTTCCCAAGATGCAGCTCAGAGGGCAGAGTGTCTGCAGATTGCTGTTCGGTGTAGACAGGTCACCCTGGGAGCACCTGTGATGTCTGAGCAGGAGATAATTTTGAATGATTATGCAAATTCACTTAGAAGACAGAAGAGCAGCCTGGAAGATAAGCTCTGCTGAAGGACAGATGTTGTTAGAGGGGCCAGAGGGCAGATGAAGTACAGCAAGTCTAAGGGAAGACCAGAAGGCTCTGGGAGGGCAATGGCAGCGCCCAAAGCAAAAACAAAAAAGCTGGTACGGTCCAGAGAGGTGGCTGGCAAGGACAGAGGCTAGGGTCACTCTGGTGTGTTGTCGAGACCCAGTTTTGATGAACGATGGCAAGACCTAAGGGAGTGTGATGCTACTGGTAGCATAGCTTTTCTAAGTAGATACTCAGCCTACTGTTGCTTTGCTCTGGTCTGTTTCTGTGAACATGGTTCTTCCTGGGAGTCAGACGTACTGTAAAGAGGAGCTTCAGATCTGCATGGCAGGAATTGCTCAAAGACACGGTGTCTCTTAGCTTAAACAGCTGCAAAGAGGGGATATAAGATCTAAGAGTATCTAACGGGTAGACACTGCAGAGGAAGAAGTGTCATCCTAGGTGACAGAAGGGTGGAGCTGTGTGGAAAAGCAGTGAGATAGGTGCAAGCAAATTCAGTCTTAGGCTGGGTATCAGAGACAGTGCCACAGCAGAATACTTCCATCAAACAAATGAACAGCTTCCCAGCTTTGTGCAGCTCCAAGTGAGAGCGTTGTTGCTGTTGGAACTGAAAACGCTGTACTGCCCATTTTGCTGTACTGCCCGTTTTGCGGGTGGAAGCAGCTCTGTGCCTCCAGACCAGCAGCTATTTTAGAATTCTTGGTAACATCCAGACAGCTTCTGCAGCTGGAAATAGCATCAAGGTCTTTTGAGAAACAAATGTTTCATATTGTAGGAGACACACAGGCTCAGACTAGGAAGAACTGTAGAATGGATTCTGTCTTCTCAAATGACAGTCTACATCGTGTATAGGCAACACATTCCTCTTCATGTGTATGCTGCAGCATTGGGGTATGGACAAGATATTCCATGCCTGATTGTTCTGTTGTTGGTTTTTTTTTTAACAGGCCTCTGCAACGATTTTGCTTGCCCCTCTTGTCCCCGTGTGGCAGCCGCTCTTATGCAAGTGAAGTCGATCAGGTGAGTGTGATTGTGGTTTCCAGGAACTAGTTCTGCTGAGCTGGGGTTTTAAAGTCCCTGAAGCCCGGTGACCAAATTCATCTTTCCAATTTGCCAGAAGGACTCTGAGCTGGACTGCTCCAACATACTCTACATTCTTTCCTAGCACAGAGCTTCCATTGACGTAGCATGGTACATGCTGCTAAGGATGGAAATAAACAATCAGACTAGTGGGGTTTTTCTATTTTTGGAACTCACTCAGCAGATGAAATCTTCCACCTTAGAGTGGAGGGTATTTGCATGACAAATTCTTAATAAAGCACTCTTTCTATGGTATGGTTGTTTTAACAGATGTAAATAAATTGATGTGTCCTCACCTCTTGATCTGGAGAGTGGCCCTCTTCTTTAACAGCCCGTCCCTTGAAGGCACTAGCTTTCCAGGAACAGTGCCAGGCAGAAGGAAGGGGAATGTTTTGCCCTCTTGCCTGTCTTGTGGCACAGAACTCAGCACTTCAGCAGTGCTAGAGCCTGCACGTCTTGGCCCTTAAGCCTGAGACAGAGTCTCTGAGGAATTCGGATGTGGCCCTTGCATCACTGCTGGGCATCCAGTGTGACCCTGATTGGTCCCTGTGCATGCTGGGGAGAGCCAAATTTTTAGTTTGTTTAAAGAGATGAGTTGGCATGAATTGCGAGTATTTATTACCTAATCCAACCCACAGCAGTACCTAGCTGCATGTGCAGTTGTTGATGCAGGAGTGTCTGATACACCGTGCAATTTTTAACATGTCACTTAACTGCTGCCTCTCTTTGGGTTATCAGAAAGAGTTTGGAGAAGGACCGAGGTGTAATTCTGTTGAAATTATAAATTGGAAAAATAAGAAGACCAAAAAACAAACAAACAGACTGATGACCAACTGGTCTTAATTTCAAATACTAAACCCACTTGATTCTGCCTAGCTTTTAAAACCCAGCAAGAGAGGGTTTACGTGCTAGAGAAAGAAAGAGGAGTGTGCAGTCAGTAAGGTTAACCCATATCCTTTCTTCAGTCAAGCCTTCTTCCCCACGCCCTGCGGGCTGCCTGGCACAGAAGAGCAGACTCTTGTCTACTTTGAACACACAGGAACAGTTCCCGTGTGTATTTCTTGGGAACTGTCTGGTATATTCTCAGATTTCAAAATGGATGTGAACTGCCAGAGAACGGTGGTTTGCTTGGTCTCTTTGCCTTGGGAACCTGTTGTCAGAAGTGCCGAACTTCTCTTTGTGTTGGGAGGACAGTGATCCTGCCTCACTGGAGTGAACTCGGTATGAAACCTTCGTTTCTTGTCTCCAGGAGGCACTGGGTGGCAGTAGCTGGCAAAGAGTGTAGAGAACATCCCTGGAACAGACTGCTTCTGGCCAAGGACATGGTTTTGTTCTGTGCGCTGCAAATCACTGATCTCAAATAGTCAATTCCAGTGCGTTTTGTTCTGTTTTGTTTTGCAGATTGACAGCAGAGCTGTGCTAATAACGGGTTGTGACTCAGGGTTCGGATTTGCCTTGGCCAAGCACCTGCATGCCAAGGGCTTCATTATTTATGCTGGCTGCCTGCAAAAGGTAGGGAAAACAAAAACTTTATTTTTCACCTGTGGCACGTGCACAGGCACATAGCAAATCCAGTCTTTCTTTTCTTCTCTGCACAGCTTTCTGACAAGGAGGGGATGGGGATGGTTGGTAGCCCAAAGGGAAAGACATGAGTGCTTGAATTTCCTGGAACATAACCTGGTCTAGACCAGAACCTGACTGAATGGTAGCTGGGATGTTCTTATCTGAATCACAACATTGTGGTCTGTTCCATATCTGAAGAGCTGGCTTATCCATAAGCAAGTTTTGGGATCAGGTTGAATCTGGACCTTTGGCTCTGCTCTCAGACTGTGCATATTTATGTAGGGCTTATTTTGATTAATTGTGACACGCACCAAGCCACCAGCGGTTTTATGGCAGGTGGTATGAGCATATTTTTCTATATTCATGAGTACAGCCATGCCTTAGTGTGTATTGGGGGTCTCCTGAAATTGCTGTGAAGGTGATAAGAGTTCCAGTCGTGCAAATGAGAGGAGAATCAGGCCACAAATAGCCTAGTGACACAGTCTTGATACACTCTCCAGGAGCACTTTGTGTGGCAGTCAGAGATGCCTGGTCAGGGAGAACAGGAGAGCGCTCTTTCCTTATGAAAGAAACATTGGCACTTTTTAAGCTGCGTGGCCGTTTCCCAACAGAAACAAACTTACTCCTTGGGATACCTTTGAGATCACTTATTTTGATCCTAATCTTTTAGCTCACTCATCACTATTAATGTATCTTGAATAGTTATATTATTTAAAGAGAATTTGCCAGGTGTTTTTTAATGCTATCAATACTATTTCTGCTGGTTTTCCATTATTACTAAGTTTTGCTTAAATTATTAGTTTCTTTCTGCTCCATTTTTTCAAAAGAGAAGTTTGTGTTTTGATAGCTCTGTCCCTTGTGGTGTCACAGCTTTGGGTCAAGGGTTTTTTTGTTAACCTGGGCTCCCTCTACAGGCTTCACAGCAGAACAAGACACTTCTTATAAACTGCTTTTCAAAAGGTGTCAACATTTTTTGACAAATGTTTCTAGCCACCGAAGTAACCGAAGATCAACATTAGAGAATGTAAGAACTTTGCAGACTTGAACACCACTGTTTAGAATAATAGCCTGCCTCTATGTGGGCGGGAGCCAAAAATTTACAGCTGCAAATTTTCTTTTGCGTTTCACTTCCTCTGTCTGAGCTGCTGGAAAGACCTGATTTTCAGTGAGTGTGTTTAACTGTCGCTGAAACCTCCCTTCCATTTTGGTGTCCTCGATACTCTTTCTACTCAATGCATGTTAGTGGAAAATCTTGGCCTCTGACAATTTTAGCATAAACTGACAGGCAGCAGCATGCCAGAACTCTTTTAGGCTTTGATCAGCATTTATTTCCTCTCCAAAAATCAGCAGAAAGCTTTGCTGTACCACTGTGTAATTGAGTGTTGCATCTTTAACTGGACTCCCATTCCATGTTCCAAAATCTACGTGACTAAGGCAAGACAGGTAACAGCAGCTGTCATCAGAGAAACACTGTAAAATGCCAGTTCTCCTCAGTTAACAGTTTGGCCTCCCGTGTGTCTTCAGGCCATATACTTTATGTAGAACTGCTCTGTAGAACTAAAACAGCTGCAGGAGACTGAGCTGATTTCTCATTGTGCCACAGTTTTCACTGGCAGAACCATAAGCAGAATTCTGAACAAAGTGTAATTATTTCTGGTGCTGATTTTAGGGGCAGAAAAAGCCTGGTGTGTTTTTAGATGCCAGATAGAAGTGGAGGTAAATATTAGAAGCATCATCTTTTGCTTGTATATGTTTGACTTAGCCCTGACAGAGAGGAAATGACTGTGAAACTTCAGTGTTATTTTCATGGGACTGTTTTTCACAGCACACCTGCACATGAGAAGCATACTCCAGCTTGGGGAGCCATCATGTCCTCGGGGTGTGCACTGTTCTTAGGATCGCCACGTCCTTGTTGCAGATTAAAAGAGTGTGCAGTGCTGAGTCTGCATCAGGAAAGGTTTCCTAGAGTGGCCAAATCCTGCGCGCCTGAAGGAAACCTGGGAGAGGTGTTCAGAGTCATGGCTGAGGGAACCCCAAGGCATGGATCGGTGCTAACAGTGTGCTATTTCACATACAGTTTCTTCCTAACATTTTCACTGGCAAATATATTCGTGTGAGAGTTGTATTGATGCTTTCTTGCCAAAAGACAGTGGTAGACTGGATCCAATGAACGATCACGATGCAGCTGTCTTATTTTTTCCTCTTTGGTTAATAGCTGGAGGAGCCAGCTGACACAAGATGAAGAAGGTATTTTTCCATCAGTATCTGTTACCAGTGGACATATGTGATGTTTGTCACGGCTGTCAGGAGTGTGATGGAACCCCTGTTTGCTTTGCTTTGTGTGCTCAGGCCTGTTGGGGCTTGCAGGGGGATGAGAAGGCAGAGGTTATCTGAGCAAGCCAGCACGCAGGACAGTTACTGTAAGGTTCAACAAAAGTGCTTAGAGCCACAGGGTGTTACATACCACTTCAAGGACACACTGATAAAGATACAAGCTGAAGCCCATGGGTCCCAGAGGGTGACCATGGAAGGAGGAAGATGAGACAGTGGTGTGCTTTTTCAGTATGCAAGAACTGGTTCTTCTTGCCACGGGGACAGTGGACACTCGGGCTGACAGCAGAGATGTCCTGGTCTCTTGGCGTAGCATGAGGTGTCCTTCCACTGCTGCATATGGGCCCAGGGGTTGTGGCTGCATCCTGTGCCAGGAGAGCATGACACAATCACAGGGTGCCTGACTTAAACACCACCCATCTGCCCTTTCTGAAGAGCCAAGGGAATGGCTCTGTGGGTCTGGGTTAATGCCCAGAGTCCAACTTTTGGCCAGGATTCCAGCCCCAAGGGTCCCTGTCCAAGCATCCAGCTGCGTGTGGGTGGGAGGGCAGGAGGGATGTTGGCTTGCTGAGCCAACCCTGTAAGGGAGGAAGAAGAGGATGCTGTGAATGTCTCAGCAGAGCTTACGAGGCCTCTGAGGCTGGTGTGTTGCTGTGGTCCAGAGATTTTGTAGCACCTCGCAGACCTGGGAGTGGGGAAAGAACCACCTTGGCCTTATTGTTCTTCCTCTTCCCTTCAGCCATGTCTGCTGTTTCTGGGGGACTTGCATGCTTGCATATGCTGATTCCCTGTTGGCTTTCCCACATGCACCACTAAATGCTTTGCCTTACACACTGGCTGCGGCACCACAGTGCTTTTGAGTGAGCAGCAAACTTAGCACTAAGCTCTATTTTCAGACATTGTAAAAACAAACACCACTAAGCTGTGCATGGGACTTTTAACTGCTCCGGTTTGTATGCAGTATGCTTCCGTGTGAAGAGAGTGCAGTAGATGCCTTCTCTTAAGGACAAATACTAACCGATATTTAACGGTCTGTGGTGGAATAAGGACGAGTGGAGAAGAAGACAGAGGAGACATCAGGTTCTGACGTTAGTTAGTGAACTGTGTGAGCACAGTGGATAAGCCCAGGAATGAGAGGAACCAGGAGAAGGTTTTTTGGAAGAGAGGTGGCACAGACAGAGTGACGTATGGGCACCCTCGTGTGGTATCTGAAGCTTGGTATGTGAAGGGAACTCTTGCTTGGCAGGGCAAATGGACAGCCTGGGTTCAGACTGCAGACTCGAGCGCCATCTCGTTGACAACTGACTGCTGGCAGTCTCTGACAGGGAGAGCCTGTGGCTCAAGGTATTCAGAACAATCTAATGTCATTCAGCAGTCAGGAACAGCTCTGCTATGAAGAACTGGCCTGTTCCAGCTCAGGAAGAAAAGCTATCTATCCAAAAAAGCCTCATCTATCAGGAGTGAAGAGCACTCTGATGCTTGCCTGCCGATGCTGACACAGTGAGCGGGGCTACCTGGAGGGTTGAGCAGTGGGGGAAGAAGAGCTGAGCATCCGTCAGGTGATCCTGTGGGACATGCTCCATGTCTAGCCTGTTAATGGAGAGTAGAAGACTTCTAGAGAGGGATGATATTGAGGGGACAGAGGGAGTTTCTTACAGTAAAGACAGGGATGTTCCCAAAAAGTCGTTATTTTCAGAGCTAGACCTGACCATCCTCTGCAAAAGTACCCTGGAGTGGCCAGCACAGTCCGGTAGCTTATAACCATGGCAGTGATTCAGGGGTAGTCCCAAATTCATATTAGTGTGCCGTGTCTGTGTCCTGGCAGAATCATAGCCGGGCTTCGCCCCTGTGAGGGACCAGCTCTGGGTGTGGCAGCCTTGTCGCTGGTGGCATCTGGCCCATGTGAAAGGTCTCAGGGGCTGGCCGCAGTTACATGGCTGGGCTGTGAGTGGATATGTGTATACTGGGGGAAGCTGTTCTGAGCTGAGAAAAAAAGAGTGGAGATGGGAAGTGGGAGTGAGAAAAAGCTCGTGGTGGGAAGCAGAGAAGAGTGCAAGGTGCTGGAGAAGTCACGGAGGGGGCACTGCTAGCCAGCAAGCTGGCCAGGCGCTTGATGATGGGACACTGTAGGAGTCCATTGGAGGCAGTAGGTAGGTTTCCAGGCAGTGGGAGCTGTGTGCATATATCAGCTGAAGGGAGAGAGTGGTGGGCAGGCAGTCCCTCTTCTAAGACTTGTCGCTCTCAGAGCTGGCAGTGTGGCTGAGAAGCACCTGCAACATCCATGTGCAGCCACTCACCGGCTATTTTATACCGTACACCTCTGCCAAGCTATTTGCTGTGCCCCGCGTGCAAGCCAAAGCGAGGGCACTGACACACTCCCACCGCTGCAGCAGTGGGGCATAGCTTGATCTCAGGAGCTTGTACTGGGCAGGAGTTGCCTTGCTGGGGCAGATCCAGCTCTGGCTGCCTTCTTGGTGGTCAGAGCAGTTTGTACCAGCTGACTCGGTGGCAGGGCTCATGGTCAGATGGAGATGCTCGAGGAATGGTGCTCTGCAGGATCAGCCCTGTCTGTTCCCTTCCCTCTTAGAGCTGGAGCACTGCCCTTACTATTCTGTGACTGCCCTGTGCACTCTTGCTTGATTTGATGGTTGATAGGTGTTTGATATTCTACACAAGCTCTTTGGTCAGATTCAAACCAGCACTTTCTTCCTCTCTAGGACAAGGGAGATGGTGGCTCCAAGGATCTGGACAACATGAACAGTGATCGAATGAGAACTGTCCAGCTCAACGTCTGTGACAGCAAAGAGGTGGACCGAGCAGTGGAGCACGTGAATAGCAGCCTGGAGGACCCAGAGAAAGGTAGGTGCGTGCAATGGGCTCGAAGGTCACATAGGTGGCAGGAGCTCCCTCAGCTGGTCTCTGAGAGCATTTTCAGGGCATATTTCAAAATCTGTGAGCATAAGGGCACAAAGCTTTGAGGAGCAGCAGTGCAGAGCAAATGGCCTCCTTAAGTGTCGTGCCGTATCAGAAAGCAGCTTCCCACTTAAGACACCATCTACAAAGAAAACTCCTTTTTTCTCCTATAGTGACATTAGCAGAAGTCAGGGTGGTATTCAAGGCCCCGGGATTAGTGTTTTATTCCTGTGACTTGAAGTTTGTTTTCACTCCCTTTATGTTGTAAAACTTGGCCAGTGCCCAAAGATTGGGGATTAGCCGCAGAAATATCTCCCCCAGACTTTCAAAAGGCAAAGGAAATGGAGAGGTTTTCCAAAGGATTTCCTGCAAAGCCAGCTGAGTATCATTAATGCCTTTGCAGATCTTACCATATATTACAGATTTCAGAGTTCAGCGGGTAGCTGTAACTAACTTTCTTAGCCTGCTGACCTCATTCTGCTGAGGTGATGACAGCAAATTCTGCTCCAGTACTGTGAAAATCCCAGTTGCTCATGCATTCCTGAAACCTTTCCACTCTTTGGTGAACTACATTTTTCTCTTAAAGAACATCCACACTTCGACACATGGAGGTTGTTGAAAAGCAGGGGTTTTTGGATTTTGCGTAAACCTATTTCTTTTACTTTTCTTTATATTTAATTTTTATATATGGATCTTCTATATAAATTAAGTTTTCTAGCCCTGTATTCTTAAGCATAGGCCAGGATGAAGTTGCCTTTTCTGGGCTGTTTCTGAGAACACAGATCTGGACACAAGTCAGTCAACAGATAACAGTGAGTTTTTCTAAACAGCAGAGAGAAGCCATCCCAGACCTTTCTTGATCTGTTCCCTGTGCAATTAGAATGTTATGTGAAGTTAGTTCATTTTATGCTAAATTCCTTTTGATTCTTTCTTTTTGTTGGTAGCTTCAGTTGTTGCCATCTTGGTTGCAGCAGAATAAAAGGGAGAGGCCGTGGCATGAATGCCCACCCATGCCCACATCTCCCTTCCCAGCATTGCAGACATTCTAGTTCTTATGGTGACACACGAGATTTTACTTTGAAAGAATTACTCTTTTGTTTCCTACAAGGTCTTTCCTATTCTCATTATTTGCATTTAGAGGCTATATTTTGCTGCTTCTAAAAAATCACAACAGATAAAAAGAGAATGGCAAGGAGAACTGCTCGGACAAGGCTGAAGTTCTCTGTTTGCTGGCGAGGAACTTCCAGGGAAGCCTTATTCACAGTTGTTTGTGGCTGCAGCGTTGGGCAGTGCAGGCCAATCCTGACTGGGGTTATATTTGCCCAGGAGACTGAAGTTCACTCTAGGCTCTCTTCTGTGTGGCTTCCATCGTTGCAGGTTGTAATGAAAAGCTCTGTTTCATGGTTTAATAATCTATTTACAAGGCCTTTTCCAAGCTGCTCACGTTAGTCTCACAGAGGGAAAGCTTTCTGCTTGATTTTGTCTTCTAGGGCTCTGGGGGCTGGTTAACAACGCTGGGATCTCCACATTCGGGGAAGTCGAGTTCACCAGCATGGACACCTACATGGAGGTAGCTGAAGTGAACCTGTGGGGGACTGTGCGAACCACCAAGGCTTTCCTCCCACTCATCCGGAGGTCAAAAGGTGAGCAATCTCCTGACTGGCACTCCCTGGAGCAGGTCCCTCATCCTGCCCCGTGTCTTGCTGTGTTAGAGGCCAAAAGTTCTATTATGTTCCTCTCTGCACCCTTGGCCACCTTCATACCTTTACAGACAGAGTGTGGCCCACAGCATACACACAAATGACAGGTGTCCTAACCGCTCTGAGTAACGCAGCAAGGCAGCAGTCCTGAAAACCAGTTATTATTTCTCTTTCCCATCTGTGCTGCCTTCTCCTACAGCATCCCACGCAAGGTCTAATCCATCATACCTTCTTTTACCTGTTCAGAAGCTGCAGCTCACTGTAAGTTCCAGTGCCAGGAGCAGTCCTCCCCTCTATACAAAAACCAGCTGTGCCAACGCAGGCAGGGTGGTCAGCAGCGGTGTACTGTGACGTGCTTCTGGCAGGGAAGTTGGCAGCTGTGTGCAGTTTTACTTTGGGAGCTTGTAACGTTTGAGAGGTGGGGTTTGTACAGCAAAGGAACGCAGACCTGAAGCTTGCGTGGGTCTCGGCATAAAGGGACAAAAGCTTTCCTGTACTGGGACCAACTACTTGACTAAATGAGAGTATTCTTTACTCTTGAGGCATCCAGAGACATTAACAGTGATGTCCTGTGCTGCAGACCTGGGCTGTACATGGCCCAGGTAGCATTCTTCCACCATGGAAGATACAGTATCCTCTTCTGCGATCAAAGTTTCTCTAACACAGCTCAGCAGTGAGCACTGATAGAAAGTGCAAAGAACTGCAACCTCTGATGAGACTGCAGCATCCGCAGTCTCCTGCCAGCATTCTTCCCAGACAAAATGGATGGCTTCTGGAGAGGAGAAAGGCCCCAGCTCTGTGCCTGGAGCCGTAATCCAGCTGTCACACAGAAAAGGGTGCAGTGGATTTAGACTGCTCTGCCTGTTTGTAGTAGGAGCAATCCGTTCCCTTTTAAGAGGCAGACACTATAAGACACCATTGGGCTCCTGGATTTTGTGCCTTTGACTTGCAAATAAACAAGCTCAGCCTTGGTGCCAGAGGCTTTCTTTGCCGCTGCTTCCTCTTGTCTGGGTTCAGCCCTGACGGCTGCTGAGCAATCGTGTTTCCCACCATGCAGGCTCTATCCAGCCTCTTCCCTGTAGCGCTGAGCCTTGTGTGTCACCGTGTGCCCGTGCCCTCAGGTACAGTGAGGCAGGGAGCACAAGCAGCGGGCTTGTTCTCCGGCCTGAAGGCTGTGGCATAGGACAGCACTGCTCAGCTAGAGCCACGAGCAGGTCTGTCGGGCAGCCCTTACGGGTGTGCAGTGGGCGGGTGGATGCATTCGGGAATCTGTTGGGTGGCGTGTGTCGGGGGTCTGCTCTGGGTCAGGTACCACAGCTCAGCTGGGCCTTGCCTGGCCTCTGCCTAGGTCGCGTGGTGAACATCAGCAGCATGATGGGTCGGATGGGCAGTCCTGCCCGGTCGCCCTACTGCATCACCAAGTTTGGCGTGGAAGCCTTCTCTGACTGCCTGCGGTACGAAATGCAGCCCCAGGGGGTGATGGTCAGCATCGTGGAGCCTGGCAACTTCATAGCGGCCACCAACCTGTACAGCCCCGAGCGGATCAAAGCCATAGCCGACAAAATGTGGGACGAGCTCCCGGAGATAGTGCGCAAGGACTACGGCAGGAAGTACTTCGATGAGCAGGTCAGCAAGATGGAGACGTACTGCAACAGCGGCTCGACAGACACCTCGCCGGTCATCGAAAGCGTAGCCCACGCGCTCACCTCCACCACCCCCTACACCCGCTACCACCCCATGGATTACTACTGGTGGCTGCGCATGCAGATCATGACACACATGCCGGCTGCCATTTCAGATCGGCTCTATGTCTATTGAGGCCTCACCCTCCTAGGCTACCCAGGAGGGAAATTTGTTTTAAAGAGCATTGTACACACTTCCCATTAGTCCTTCTTAATTTTTTCTAACCTCCTTTCAGAGTACTGTATTTTAGCTCTAAAGGGTTCATTTAAACATCTGACATAACCTTAAAAGGCAGTAATTTGCAAGGGATGCTTCCTAGGCGGGAATGCGTTATGTTTGTGCAGGGACGTCGATTCTTTGCTATTTATTTCATGTAATCCTTTTTTTTTTTCACCTCAAATATCAAGTTATAATCGTTATTTAAACTGCAATTGCTCTGAAGTGTTTTCAGAATAATTTCTGCTGATGGCTGAACAGTCTCCACAATTCCTGCCTAGGATGCTGCCCTCACACCACAAAACAGAGGCCCTCTGAGCTGTAATGGCAAACCGCTGCCTCCTGATGACAAAGACTTTTCCAGGCCTGGTCACAGTAGCCCAAGGCAGAGCAGAGACTTCTTTAATTTGGGGATCAGAACTCAAAATGCTCGAGGTGCTGAAACTGAGCAACTGACCCTGTCCCTTTCTCTCTTAGAATTACACTGATGAAACCTTAGAGAAAAGGAACCAGTCTGCTTTTCTTGCATGCTTTCTTGCAAAGGAGTTCAACAACCCAGGGGCTCCGTCCTGCAGACCTTTCCCACAGGAGTTTCCCACTTCCATGAGCATTCCCATGAGTGTGAGCAGCCTTACGCACAGGACTGCAGGCATCGGGACTGGCCTGTAGTTACACTTCTCTTCAACAGTAATTGAACATCAACTCCAGACTTAGTCTGGAGAAGAGTTCACTCCAGCTCCTGTAATTTGTGAGGGTCACCGCTGAGCAGAGGGAAGCAGAGAGGGTTGCAGTCACAGCAGTGAGTGCCGTTCTTACCAGGGACCCCAGAGTTACGCACAGTTGCACAGAAAGGCCGTAACCCTGACCAGGGCCTCTAGGTGCTGTTGCGGTGCGGGTGATGGTAACAATGAGCACTTTCATTGAAGGAGTGGCTGAGCTGAAATACATCTAACGTGATACAAATCTCACAGACCGTCCGTAACGATGGAGTTAACTTTACGATCAGATTCATTTCCATGATGGTTGTTTACATGTCTGAAAAACAGATACCTGTTTTGTACCATAAGAAAATAAAAGAAAAAAACCGTAAAAGATTCTTTCATGGGAAAATGTGGAAAGAGTTAATTTTTTTAAGCTTGAAAGGCAAAACCCAAACAAGTAATTAAAATACCATTGTTAGCAAAGTTAAAGAGAAGGGATCTGATGTGCTCTAGTAACGTACCATGACATGATCAAACTCCTTTGGCTTAATAAATGTATATGAATGGTAACAACATTGAGAGGCTCCCTCTCTTTATTTTTTAGATATTTAGGGTGAAAAGCTCATATTCTTTAGCGCTGTTTTTGTGGGGTTTTTTAATTTGGTGAGGCTCATGCCTGTTATGCATACACACTGCGTGCTCAGGGGCTGATTTGCAGTCTTGGGTCTTACATGTCCATGTTGGATAGTGCAAGGCTTCTGTGCAAGTACCAGTTGTGTCCTGCATCTCCTGGCAAATCGGCCTAACCCCTGGGCTCTGTGTGTGCACCGCTCTTAAACCTGCATCTGTACCAGACTCCCACAGATTACAAAGGATTATTATGGATTATTCCCAGGGAGCAGGAAGAGAAACTGAGCTCTGAAGAGGGGAGGGGGATGGTGGTGTTTCAGCAGGGCAGGCACACGACAGGTCACCGACAGACCCAAAATAAAACCCTGGGAGAGACTTGTCTGCCTCCAAACCCTCGTGATCTTCTCCAGAGGCCCGGCAGTGGCAGCTGCATCTTGTGGTGCAGGGCATATTGCCTCATTTTCCAGTACACTGACTTCTCTTGGACAAAACATAACAGTATGAACCGCAAGAGACCCAGCAGGCACAGGGACTAACTTGCAAGGCAGAGCAAAACACCTGGGTAACCAAATTTGCTGCAGATGACACAGCAGAAAGAGAAAAGCCTTTACAAGAAAAGTTCTTGTAGTCTAAAAATTTAGGCCCGAGGTGCTAAGTAACACAAAAAATCCCGTAATTCCGCTTGGGATGCTAGCTCCTAATTTTACACGTGCTGCTGGGTTTTAATACAAATATCAATGAAGTTACAGATGGAAAAGACTGAGTGTGCAGCTGAGTTATCTCAGTTTAGCTCAGAGACCCCTGAGAGCAAATGTAGCAGAGGTTTAACAGCACCACATTTGTTCCCAGCCAGAAAGATAAAGTGGAACAGTGATAACTGCGCTCGCCACTACACAGTGTCTCTTCTGGAGGCTTCTGAGCTCCTTCGTGTGAGGCGCCCGCAGGGAACTCTGAAGTCGTGCCACCGCTCCGGGGCTGGAGGAGATGGGACGGTACTGCTGCTCTGCGGCGTGGTTCTCAGGGGACCGTGTGGCCACGTACGACGGGGAGGCGATGGCTAGGGTGCTCCTGTGCGTCACAGCTGTTCTGAGGTTTCTGTGCAAGTTCTGCTGACACTAGGAGAGCCTGGTAGCTGATGCACGGTCAGGAGGGCAGCAAGCTGGCTAGTTTTCCTGCCGGGATCTTGGCAATCCCATAATTTCAGGGTTTGCCCTGAGAAGCGCATTAAAAGCTAATCCCCTCTGGTTTTGCATGACTGTCCGTGTGACCCAGTGCACTCTAGGTCCTCCCTGCACAGCGTCACTGTGGCTCCTGGAGTAGCTTTAGCTCATCTGAAAACTAAAAAAGAACAGAAGCACAGCAAAAGAGGACTTGGCCAGGCACCTGCACTCCCAGCTGGTCCACTGTCTCAGTGGGGAGCTTCTGCCCCCTCGGGAGTTGCTGGGGAGCCTGGAGCCCACCCCTGGGCTCTAGTCTGATCCCAGCTGGCTGGAGGGAGGGCTCCATCTTCCCAACTTTCTTGCCAGGCAGAGATCGTTGGCGATGACAGATCTCAGCATGCAGCATCCCTTGGGCAACCTGGAGTTAAAAATAACTTTCTCTTGCATGGTGGGAGGCAGCAAAGACGGGGTAATTTTAACTACAGCTGTTACATCTTGTTCTGAGCCTTAATGAGGAAATAATGAAGTCCTACCCATTTCAGAACTTTTTGCTCCTAGTGATGAGGTGGTGGATGCTGCATTTGAGACCAGCGTTTAGTGACCCCTTATTGCCACATTATCTGGATGAAGCGCAGGGATTTTACAGTTAAACAGAAAATCATTTCTCAGCCAAGAAGTCGCACAGCATTGGGAGAGCTGGTCCCAACCCTGTGCCTCAGCTCCTGTGTCCCAGCAGAGGTCTGGCCCAGGCTCACTCATGGGTCTCTGCCCTGTGAGTCTGGCTGAAGCTCATGGTCCTGGGCTGGCAGTTTGGAAATAGGACTGCTCTGGAAACAGAAAAGAGGAAAGGACCACTCCTGTTCAGGCAGTGTTAAATGGCTGAGTGTAGGGTGTCCTCCCCAGTTGAATTTGATATAACAATTACATACATACTCAGTTAAATGTACGAGTGTCTCAGTTGCTGAGCTACAAAGTCAAATCCCCATCTGTACTGAGGCAGGACTGAAGCCAAGGGGCCTTGCTGCAAAGCCTGCATGCAGCTGCTGGCACTTCATGGACTGCGGCTTTGGAAAGAAGGTATCTTCCCAGCAAACAAGAAGGTAATCATAAGCATAACTCACAGAAGATCTGATGACACCTCCCTGGGGAGACACCACTCAGGAACACAGCGCTGGTTTCTCTTCCCTCTTTCCCAACAGCAATGTAGAGCTTGCCGTGCGGCTTTCGGGTGCTGCAGACCTGAACTGGTCTTTCCCCGTGCGAGACAAAGCACCGGCCTGATGCAGCCAAAGCAGTGAGCCGCGAGTTCTTCCTCACTGTGCATGAGTGCAGGAAGTGGGAGATGCCCGGGCCAGGAGCAGCCCATACACCCATCACATGGGTGGCAGGTAGCGCTGGCAGTGCCCACCCAGCTTGTCACCACTCATCACCTGGGCATCACAACCCTTGCTGGGTGGTAGGTGAAAGGGATGCTGTGAATGTGCCCTAATTTTGGCAGTCAGCTGGGGTAGTGCACGCTCAGCCAGCCAGACTGCCTGGAGCAGGCTCACCGTCACCCTCTGCCAGCGGACTGGTGAGGGGGGCAACGGCAAACATGGGGGTCCCAGGTTGGCCTGTGTTACTGCGGACTTCCACCCATGACCACACAGAGAGGGACATGCCGTGACACAGATGCCATTCTGCAGCTCCCCTGCAACCAGTGAGGGGCAGGTGGAGGTAGTTGTCTACCACCTGCCTTCCAAAGGACCCCAGGACTTCAGGACTGCCTGGAAAACTGCAGGTCAGGCTGCTCTGCTTCCATAGCCAGAAGGCAGCTCTCTGCAGTCTGCAGGAAGCGCTGAGGCAAGGAGCCTGGCTAAGATGTAGGCTGCTATCTTAAAATAATGTTTGCTAACACAGTGTTTTGTTTGCTACTGACTGTGGTTATTCGAAGATGCCTTTTTGTCAGCATCTGTCCCTGATCACAAATTAGTCTTTCTGGTGCTCGACCACCATAGCGAACTGGAAGAGTGACTAGACCTGGCTGCAGTCCCTCCAGTGCTTCCCTAGCACAAGGCTGTGTAATTATTTGTGTGATGTGGGACATCTTTAGCACAAAGGCTTGGGAGACCTGTCCTCACCTCCCACACGAGTCCTGGGGAAACAGCTCTCCCAAAGTGGGAGTGCTCCGGTTTTACAGCCGTGCAGCAAGCAGGTCATCCCACCCACAAACCGGTTGGGATCTGAGTGTGGTGCTGAGGAGCTGTGCCCTGGGAACCACGGCCTCTCTGCAGCCACCCACCCCAGACACGTGCAGCCCTTGGCAGGGACTTCAGCCCATCCTCCCTTTGCATTTCTGACAAGCTTCAACATGCTGGTCCCCAGGGTTTTAGCCCCCCTCACTGCTTACATCAGCATACGGGGCCGGGCATGGACGGGGTGTCATGCCTTTCCCAAGAGAAAAGAGGACATAGAAGACTAAAATCCCCATCCTGGGCTTGCGCAGGTATTCATCCTTGAGCACTACCTTACTTTATTTTCCATCCAGAATTGCAAGTTGGGAAGTAACAGGAGCCTGCTCCCCAACTCCCCGAATACCTGCACACCAAACCCCCAGAAAACTACTTGCTGGAGCCAGGGATGAAAGTGTAAATGTTCCCATCCCCATTTCTCACTTGGCTATGAATGTCAGAGCAGTAGCATAAAAAATGTGTTAATATCCAGAGTGATCACTGCGATGGTATTTCTGACTTTGCCTGGAGCAGGATGGACCATAAATCTTGCAAGATAACATGTTGCCACAGAGACTTCCAGCCAGTTTTTCAGGCCTTAGTCTGAACGCTGCCGGCGCATCGGAACCAGCCCACCCAGGGCTGGGCATTGCTAGCGCAGAAAGCAGCAGATTTCTGTTATACCTGTGAACACAAGGTAAGTATTCAATTCTTCCCCTAGCATGATATCTTGGAGGTATTGTGGGAAACCTTACCAGGATCCAATCCACAACACGGTGAAATTGAGGTATTTGTTGTCACAAGACTGAAAGTGTAACTGGTCTGAAGGAGA